GAAAAGAAAACACTGGAAGCCACAAGACCCCAGTGGGCGTGGCCAACTCAATGTCACTCCCAGTCATACAACACCCCCCCAAGCCATGCCTACCCAGGTTTTGTGGCTCCTGGTATTTTCTTTTTTCTGGGAAACAACTCTCTCGCTCGCTCTCTCCCTCCCTCCCTCCCCCTCCCTCTCCCCTCTCATCTCTTTGTTTCTCTTCCTCATCTCTTTCTCCCTTTCTCTTTCTGTCTCTCTCTTTCTCCCTCTCTTTCTTCCCCCATCACTCTTTTGTATTTGTGTGTGTGTGTGTTCCCTCTTGAACCATTTCCAAAAACAGGCAAGGTTGGGGTTGTTGTTTCCCCCCCCCTGATGTTCTTTCTTCTTTGATTGTTTTTTACCATATGATTTAAATCGAGTTATTTCAGGTTCCCAGATAAATGAAGCTCTTTCATCCCCCTGCTGTGGCTTCTTGTCTGCTGAATCCACCACTGGCTGGCCCCGCCCCTCGCCCTCACCTCCCACTCTTTGAGAAGAGAAGGGAAGAGCAACAGCAGCGGATGGAGACTTGCTCTGTATTCCAGAGCGGGAGCAAAGTGCCCCTCTACTTGTCTCTTCTTTGATCCTTGTTGGTTTTGTGTACACCTCGGCCGCTGGGGGAGACGCATGACTTTCCACCCCGAGACATTGGCTGGGCTGGCTGCAGCCAATGCTCTGCATCGTAATGGGCTCCAGGAGGAGGAGGGGGGATGCTGTCTCCTCATTGTGAAATTTGCTAAGTTTAAGTGTGTTGCACAAGGTGCTGCAATAGCTCAAGTGAGCAGGCCATGGAGGCAATGAGAGGAATATGGGGAGATGCGTGTCTTTCTGCCCCAAGACACTGATGCTGCTGCTCTCGCCGCCTCCATGGCCTGCGCGTTGCTTTTGCAGCATCCTGCGCAGCACACTTAAACTTAGCACGCTTCACAATGGGGAGACGGCGTCCACTCCTCTTGGAGCCCATTACAATGCAGCGCATTGGCTGCAGCCAGCCCAGCTAGTATCTTGGGGTGGAGAAAAGTCACGCGTCTCCCCCAGCGGCCGAGGTGCACACAGCACCAACAAGAGCCGAAAAAAGAGGCATGTAGAGGTCCCGCTCTGGAATACAGAGCAGGTCTCCATCCGCCGCCTTCGCCCTTCCCTTCTCAGGGCAGGCAAGGAGTGGGTGGGAGGGGTGGGGCCAGCCAGTGATGAGCTCATCCAACAGGAAGCCTCAGGAGAGGGCCCAAAGAGCAGCATGCGGCTCTGGAGCCACACATTGCTAACCCCCACTCTCGAGCCTAAAACAAGTTTGTGCTAAAAAAAACTCCTAAGCATTAGTAAATTGAAGCAATTTGCCACGGAAGAGTGGGTCACAGTTCCTATACAGTAATATGAACACCATTAATGGGAAGTGTTTGCTTCCAAGTATTTGGCTTTACTTTTTTATATTGATACATTATTTATTGGATGAAATGGTTGATGAAATAAGTGAAACAGGGCTCCAAAACGTGTTATTTTATTCACTCAAAACCTACATGATATAGTTACATGGCTCATTGATAAAAATATGCAAAACACCAGAAACACTAAAAAAAGGAATGAATACTTTTTCACTAACTATTGTTACAGATAAAGACAGAACATTTTATGAGACACTTACAAGCCTTTCTCTAGGTTTGCTTCTAGTAAGATATTTTTTAAAATCATGTCATGAATCTATCAAATGAACCTGAACCTATATAAAAATGGTTCTGATCTTGCAGTGAGAGGCATTGTGTGCTTCTTTCTGAAAGTTTATGAAGATATATTTACCACAGTATAATTTACAAGTCTAGGAAGAAATGTTGATAAGATAAGCAGGTTGTTTTTTTTTTTTTTAACTCATCGCTCCCCTTTTATTTTTGTCCTGTGCAACTATGAGTTATTGTTGTTGGTTTTTTTTTTTTAAACAAGTTTTATTAATTTTTAAAACACACAAATTATCATTATTCATTACATGTTTAAACCTTTTTTCATTGTAAATTTAACAAGTCAGATAAATTATGATTCTGTTTTAAACCATTTCCATATAACATACCAAAACCTCTTATTCAATTTATCTTTACTTCTCTTTACTCTTATTCAATATCATTATTATTATTTCATCTATTTCTTTCTGACTTAGTTACCATTATTCTCATTCTATATTTCTACAAGTTTTTACTAATTCTCCCCCCCAAAAAAACATATACACACAACACACAAAACATAAAAAAAATCTTTTTGGAAAGTAACTTGGACCCAGGTGTCTCTCTCTTCATGGACTTCAATTATATTCATGCTCATCTTACATATCATTACTTATTTTATTTACCATTCTAAGCCTTCTATATTAACTTCTCCACATATTTCACCCTTCTTAATTCTATCTTAATTAATCATCTTAGTTTAAATCATTATATTTGTATCTTTTGTCCATTTTTTATCATCCCTTTGTCTCATTCCTTATAAAAAAGAAGAAAATAAATTTCTCCTGAAATCATTAATCAGAGTATGATGCCTTTCTATCTCCCCCCTAAGTTAGTCAAATTAATCTTTAAAATAATATCCAATACCCAATCCGATTTTGCTTGGTACATTCTATCTAACTAATACATCCAAAATAATTAAGTACATACCGTAATTAGACGATAAATCCAAATATTAAAAAAAGATACTATAATAAAAATTTTATAATAACATCAATACCATAATCTTATTAAACTCTTTAATTAAAACAGTATTCTAAACCTCCCCTATTATTAAATTTTAAAGCCAATCATTTTTAAACATTTTAACATTTTAATCTCTTATCAACTCTTAAACCATTACAATACTACCATCTCATCTTATGTACCTTGCAAAATCTTTTTTTTTTTAAAAAAATTATACTTTATCCGTTATCCATAAAAAATTTCTTTTTTCCATTTAATTTCAAAACATTGTAGCTTTTCTCCACCTTTTCCCTTTCTTTCTTCTCCCAACAAACCTTTCTACCCCCCCTTCTTCTAACCTCTGCCTTACCGGCTTCCCTTCTCTGTCGTATTCCTTTTCCCTTTTGTTTACTATCATCATATTGGTTTTGCACCTTATTTTTCCCTTTCTTAAATGTTTTTTTAGATCTTAAGTCCTTTAGTTTTCTTCTTTTCTCTCTTCCTTCTTTCTTGATCAAATTCTGAGATTCATTAAAAATGGCTCCTTCCTTTCTTTCTTGTTCCTCTGCTGTCTTCATCTGTTGTAATGTTTGTTGATAGTTAGTAAGCGCCATTTCTAAAAAAAGGAAAGCTTCTTCCACACCATCTTTACCATTTTTTTTTGCTTGTTCATATTCTTTTCTTAGTTCCTCAACAGAAAGAGCCATTATAAATCTTTTCTTTTCTTTTCCCCTTCTTTCTTCTTACAACAACCAGAATATTCAAAAGAAAATAAAAAAAATAAAACAGTCCCAAAGTTATCAGTCAGTCCAAACCAAGGCAGAGTTCTCACTTTCTCCTTCTGGGGTAATATCAATCAAAGAGAAAGAAAGTCCAAATCTGTTTAAAATCTTATTGCAATATCTTCTAGTCTTCAAATCCTTAAGGCATCTGCTCCAACAAAGTCTTAGCATACAAATATTTTCTTTTTAATCCTCTCTCTTCCCACTCATCGCTTAAAACCAATTTTCACCTAAAAAAAATAGGTTTCTTAATATCCAGTTATTTATTCCGTAGGAAAAGAGGGAAAGCTATCCTTTCAGCACCATCAAACAGCCGCTTTTTCCCTCTTCTGGCAGGTATTATTCAGAAAGTCATACTTTTCAGGAATTTTATTAAATATGTCTTAGAGTCCTAGGAGCCAAGAAAAACTTTCTCCTCTCAAGCACTTTCTCCACTTCCTCCTGCGCATTCTTACCCGGCTGCCAGCTTCTTTGTGGCGGCCATTACGGACCGCCGCTGCACCGTCCTGGGAAAAGGGGGTTCTGCCGGCCGGGGAGGGGGTCTGCAACACCCCCACACCCTTCTCCGGATCCCCCCTACCTTCAGCTGCCCCTGCAGGGCAGCCTAGCTCCGTACCCGTCTGGGTCGGAGCCCCAGAAGCGGCTAGCGCGGCAGGGATCGCGCAGCTTCGCAAATCCCTGCCGCTCGCGAAGCCGACAAACCGGAAATCCCCAAGATAAGCAGGTTGTTTTGAGTTGCAGGGAATTTCAGTTGTTGTCTTCCTTTTGGATTTAGTTTCTGTTTTATCATTAATATACTGCTAAGGAAACAAAAATATGAATGAAAACAAATGTTCAAGTAAATGAAAGATGAAATAAAATATCTTGACTGTCTAATGCAAGGTTGTCAAACTTAAGGCCTGGGGGCCCGCAGATGCTAAGATCTGGCCCAAGGGGCCAGCTTGGAAAAAGCGAAAGACTGGTCCGTGGTGCCTCTGCCAGCGAAACTGGAGCTCGGGAGGGCCACATGTGGCCCTCCTGAGCTCTGTTTTTGTTGGCAGAGGGTGGCAAGTATCCCAGCCTAAAACATCTTGCAAGGAATGTGCATGTCCCCCTGAGCTCCATTTTTGCTGGCAGAGGGTTGCAAGAGGCCAACACAGCTGAAAATGGAGCTCAGGAGCCTGTTTGCACTGGGAGGCACACCTGACTGATGTCATGTTGGCCACACCTACCCTGGCCACACCCACCCCAGCCACCCAAGATCACACACAATTCTGATTTATATGGAAGATGCTTCATGTATTCCTCAATCAAATATTTGAAAAGGTTATTTTACATTGCATTTGCTTGGTAAAATAAAGTTGTGTGTTAAATTTGAATCATTGAGAAATTCTGTATGATTATTAGGAGTCGAAACCAGCTTGATAGCACATAATCCAAATCAAATAATTGATTACCAGAGGATTCTAGCATGACTATATTTTATTTACCTGTATTTTAATTTGAAGTATATTTTGTAACTTTTGGACCTAATTGTATTTTTCTTTCTATTCAAAAATTCCAGTCTGAAAGGCACTTTATCATGCAAGTAGTCTGTGAAGCGACACAGTGTTCTGATACAAGGGTAAGCCTGAAATACTTTTCCAGAGGTTTCAATGTACGAAAAGTATAAAGCTGTTTCCAAAAATAGGATGACAAAGGCTGTAAACATTCTTCACCAAATGTTTTATACAATGTTATCAATACATTCGTTGGTTTCTGGATTTATATAAAAATAAAACCAACGATAGATGTCTGTCCCAAAAAGATTAACATCAGACAAAGGGAGTGACATAGGGAGTGACACAATATGAAAGTAAAGAGATTTGTTTTGTATCTTCAGTTTAGTTATAATCAGAGTGAAAAATGAGTAATTATGTGCATTACATAGGTGGCTAGGGTTTTGAGGTGGTCTTTAATCAAATAAAAGGGGTGGCATGATAAGCGATGCGTGAAGCTAGTTTAGTAAAAGAAAAACAATATAAGAAAGGAACTTGCTTTTTATAGGTAAAAATATAGATTTGTTGCTATAATATTGTCAGAAATAGTATTGTTTCTGAGCTCAGTGCTTTGTAGTTCTTTTCCCATTTTTCATTATCTGTAATTTTAAAATTAGGAATAAACTCTAAAATATTTGGTTAAAGTAATTTGAATACTAGGTTTATTTCATTCATGTAGCAGATGAGTCATTGGTGTTTTCCTCTTTGCCTAGAACTTATTCTTTTGCTTTTATATTTAGGTGCGAGTAGCTGCCTTACAGAACTTGGTGAAGATTATGTCCCTTTATTATCAATACATGGAAACATACATGGGTCCTGCACTTTTTGCTGTGAGTATTCACAAGTGGGATTTGAGATTAAATATTTATGTTCAGTTCAGTTCAATTCAGTTTATTACAGTCATAGACCAGGTTCGACACCAAGTACCACATCATGGACTTCTACTTGCCCCAGCTCTTGTCAACTTAGCAGTTAAAAAGCATGTAAATGCAAGTCGATAAATAAGTCTCACTTCAGTGGGAAAGTAAGAGTGTTCCATGCACCTTTGGCATATAGTCATGCCAACCACATGACCATGGAAATGATGGCTCTTTGGCTGTTAATCGGACATAAGCATTGCCCACTAGAGTCAGCAGAGGAAACCTTTACCTTTTTAAATTTATGTGCTTTAAATTACTATTCTTTGGTGGAGCAGAAAATACTGGTTTAATGTTGCTTTTGTTTTTCTAAAGATCACAATTGAAGCCATGAAAAGTGATATTGATGAAGTGGCTCTACAAGGTATAGAGTTCTGGTCAAATGTCTGTGATGAAGAAATGGACCTGGCTATAGAAGCTTCAGAAGTAAGTTAAAGAGTTGCAAATATTGTATTTTCTGACTCTACTAATTATGACAATTCTGTTTTACAAAAATCTTTGGTCTATGATGAAACATCATGCACCACGCTGACTTAAGTGATGCATACATCTATAAAACTTGAGACCCAAGGTTGCTAACTGAGAGAATTTTTTTTTGCATTGGGATGTATATTTGAAAAAATTATAGACATACTTTTATATATGTAAGCAATATAATAGCACTCTATTTCTGCTGTATTCAACTTTTACTCCTGATTGGTTCACATCTGAGAGTTGTGCACCAGTTGCTACGTTACAAATATTTCTTGCAACACAGCACATACTACCTGGAGCTTTGTATCAGCGTTTGCAAATCTTTAAAAATTTTAATCAATTTCTTGTTTTCAGTAAACATATATTTATTCAAAATTATCTTAATTATTGGCTACGTGCTGCAGTTCACTTGATTTTTAAAAAAATCAAACATACTCATGATATTTGATAGATTACTTTTCAAACATGTACTTCATATAGGATTTAGTAAAAATAATTTAGGTTTCAAACAAGCAGAATAGTATTGCCTGCTCACAAAACATACATGCTCATATTCTTTTTTTTTTTTTTTAAACAAGTTTTATTAATTTTCAAAACACACAAGTCATCATTATCCATTACACGTTTAAACCTTTTTCCATTATAAATTTAACAAGTCAGATAAACTATAATTCTGTTTTAAACCATTTCCATATAAACATACAAAACCTCTTATCCAATTTCCCTTTATTTCTCTTTACTCTTATTCAATTTTATTATTATTATTTCATCTATTTCTTTCTGACTTAGTTACCATTATTCTCATTCTATATTTCTACAAGGTTTTATTAATTCTCCCCCAAAAAAACCAACATATACACACAACACACAAAACATAAAAAAGATCTTTTTGGAAAGTAACTTGGACCCAGGTATCTCTCTTTTCATGGACTTCAATTATATTCAGGCTCATCTTACATATCATTACTTATTTTATTTACCATTCTAAGTCTTCTATATTAACTTCTCCACATATTTCACTCTTCTTAATTCTATCTTAATTAATCATCTTAATTTGAGTCATTATATTTATATCTTTTGTCCATTCTCTATTGTACCTTTGTCTCATTCCTTTTAAAAAGAAAGAAATTTCTCCTGAAATCACTAATCAGAGTATGATGCCTTTCTATCTCCCCACTAAATTAATCAAATTAATCTTTAAAATACCCAATCTGATTTTGCTTGGTACATTCTAACTGAATAATACATCTAAAACAATTAAATACATAGTTAAACAATAGATTTAAATATTAAAAACAAAATACTATAATGAAAGTTTTATAATAACATCAATACCATAATCTTAATAAACTCTTTAATTAAAGTTTAATATTCTAAATCTCCCCTCATATTATATTTTCAAACCAATCATTATTAACATTCCAACATTTTAATCTCTTATCAACTCTCAGGCCATTTAAATTTTCTATTTCTGATACAATATTACAATATCATCTTATGTACCTTGCAAAATCTCTTTGAAGAAATTATACTTATCCTTTATCCCTAAAAAAAATTTCTTTTTTCTCATTTAATTTCAAAACTTTGTAGCTTTTCTCCACCTTTTCTCTTTCTTTCTTCCCCCAACAAACCTTTCTAGCCCCCCTTCTAGCCTCTGCCTTACTGGCTTCCCTTCTCTGTCGTATTCCTCTTCCCTTTTGTTTACCATCCTTATATTGATTTTGCACCTTGTTTTTCCCTTTCTTAAATGTTTTTTTTAAATCTTAAGTCCTTTATTTCTCTTCTTTTTCCTCTTCCTTCCCTCTTGGTCGAGTTCTGAGATTTATTAAAGATGGCTTCCTCTCTTTGTTCTTCTTCTACTGTCTTCATCTGTTGCAATGTTTGTTGATAGTTAATAAGCGCCATTTCTAAAAAAAGGAAGGCTTCTTTCAAACCAGCTTTACCATTTTGTTTTGCTTGCTCATAATCTTTTCTCAGTTCCTCGATAGAAGAAGCCATTATAAATCTTTTCTTTTCTTTTCTCTTACAACAGCCAGAATATTCCAAAGGAAAAATAAGACAATCCCAAAGTTTTCAGTCAGTCCAAACCAGGACAGAGTTCCCACTCTCTCCTCCTGGGGTAGTATCAATTAGAAAAAAAGAAAGTCCAAATCTGTTTCTTAAAATCTTATTGCAATATATTTTAGTCTTTCAATCCTTAAGGCATCTCCTCCAACAAGATCTTAGCATACAAATATTTTTTTTTTAGTCCTCTCTTTTCCCACTCATCGCTTAGAGCCAGTTTTCACCTAAAAAAAATAGGTTTCTTAATGTTCACTTTTTATTCCGTAAAAAAAGAGAGTAAGCTATCCTTTCAGCACCATTAAATTGCCGCTTTTTTCCTCTTCTCGAAGGTATCATTCAGAAAGTCATACTTTTCAGGAATTTTGTTAAATATGTCTTAGAGTCCTAGGAACCAAGAAAGACTTTCTCCTCTCAAGCACTTTCTCCACTTCCTCCTGCGCATTCTTACCCGGCTGCCAGCTTCTTTGTGGCGGCCATTACGGACCGCCGCTACACCGTCCTGGGAAAAGGGGGTTCTGCCGGCCGGGGAGGGGGTCTGCAACACCCCCAAACCCTTCTCCGGATCCCCCCTACCTTCAGCTGCCCCTGCAGGGCAGCCTAGCTCCGTACCCGTCTGGGTCGGAGCCCCAAAAACGGCTAGCGCGGCAGGGATCGCGCAGCTTCGCAAATCCCTGCCGCTCGCGAAGCCGACAAACCGGAAACCCCATACATGCTCATATTCTTATCCCCAACTACATACCATATTTTTCGGTGTATAAGACACACTTCTTCCCCCGCCCCCAAAAGTGGGTGGAAATGTCTGTGTCTTACACAGCAAATGTTGCCAAAGCCCCGCCCATCCGGTGGTCCCTTTGGTCTCTGCCTCCGAGCAATTTGCCTCCTTACAGCAAACAGCCTGGTCAGCTTTAGCACAAGCAGCTGATTGTCAGTTGGATTGGCCTGACGATCAACTGTTTCAGGCTGCAGGGATTGCCATCGCCTATTGCTGCATCCGCATGCCCCATTTTCAGCCTCCACATCCTGTATTCAGCTTCCACACTTCCTCTTTTCAGCCTCCACACATTCCATTTTTGGCCCGTTCCAGGCGATATTGATCGGAATCAATTGGATTGATATAGGAGATTATAGAAATGGAATAAATAAATATATAAAATAAACATACTTCTCCATTCTGTCACATTCATTTTAATCTAAACTATTTCATAATTTAAATGTTTGATTTACTTTGGTAGATGTATCGTATTTAGCCCTTTTCCCATCAAAATATTTTTTTCATCAAGCTTATTACACATTTTATTTTAATCCTAGTTGTTTCTTCTTTGACTATATGTTTGCAACTGTCTGCATATAATTTCTAATTGTTTGTTTAATGCCTTTTCGCTTCATCTACAGGCTCTTTCATAATTCCATCAAATATTCTTCTTTATACTATCTATTAACATAACTTTACACATTGGAACCATTTTTATTTTTTCTGTATTTTTTGTACCACCCTTATATTCTTCTCTAATTCTCTCAATCGTATAGGGATAAGTTTATGACTTTGAATTAGAATGGTTGAATTTATTCTTAGTGATCAAATGGAGATAACGATTCATGAAACTTTGGTCAATAATGCTATCGTAAATAATCAAGTTAATGTAATAATTGTTTATGTTATCCATTACCCATTTATTCATGTATTTGCATATATACTAAATATACGTTAGCAATCAACCTTGCAGTATAACGTTATTCTCATGAGATTTTCAAAGGAAAATGTACGTATCTCAGTTCAGATAGGGAAGGGGCACAAATACATGTTTAGCTCAAATTAAGACATTTGTATTACTTCTTTCATAGGCAGCAGAACAAGGACGACCTCCAGAGCATACTAGTAAATTCTATGCCAAGGGTGCTCTCCAGTATCTAGTCCCAATTCTGACACAAACATTGACAAAACAGGTAAATAATGTATATGAATATAATGTATATTATAATGTATATTTCTCCAATATACTGGTCATCCTTGGGATTGGCACGTCTGTTGCTTTGTGATGCATCAAGTGTGTGTGTGTGTGTGTGTGTGTGTGTGTGTGTGTGCATACAAACAAACACACAATATATAACAGATTTACAGCCACACTTCTGCCATGGTTGTTAAGCAAGACCTCATGTGATTGCTTCTTCATTGACTATGCCTGTTGGAAGCTGGTTGTGAAGCCTGCATATGGTAACCATTTGACTGTGAGAAACTGCAAAGTTGTAAACACTTGCCAGTTATGAAGCATCTGAATTTCAATCAGGTGATACCAGGAAAGGTAAAGTTACCTTTTCAGTGTTAATGATGTCATTAACTAAAGTACTATCTATAGTTTCAAGGCCTATAGTTTTCATCAGCTTGGTATCCTGCATTGAAAATCATCTAGTATATTTTATTGTTTGGTCTGGTTTTACAGATAGGTAGTTAAAATCTTGGAAGACATCAGGGCTGGGGAAGACTGGCATAGTAATTATTGTGAAAAAATTAAGAACAAGCCTAAAATATCCTGGTCCTGCAGAAAGAAACCGTGTTCTAATTTCAGATAATTTTTGGTTTAGTCTATAACTTTAATGCAAAAAGATTATGAAATATTTGTGGTAATCCTGTAGAGATTGCATTCATTCATGCATTGACAGTGCATTATAATAAGAATTACGCACTTCCAATTTATGAATGAATGCAATCCTTTGTTCATAGCCATATGTAGTATTCCAAAATTATTGCATACTGTCTGTTGTTCAATTGGAGACAGGTGCTTGAAGAAGTACTCTTCCCTGAAAAAAGCTAAAAGGTGTTTCCTGTTTCCCTTCCTGATTCCCTTTGAAATTATTTTTTTATCACTCTCTATAATTTAAAAAGCATTATTTTGACAAACTATACCAATTTAATACTATTGTGGCTACACTGAAGCTGCAGCTGTTGATGTTTCTGTTAATCTTGCGCCAAATTATATTCATCTCTATTGTATCATTCTTATCACTTTGCTTTTAAAGGAATTATTCAGTTATCTACCTGTCATTACATTGTCTCTCAGATCACTATCTTATTACTGAGTTTTTGGCAAATGTTGGGATGGTATTCAAAATCTGACAACTTTTTCCTAATTTGCAAAGTATTGAATTGTTATGAGATTGTCAAATACTTTGACAAATCAATGTTCCTACCCGAAATCTAATCAAATTTATTATAAAATGACATTTAGACATTTAAAATATAATCCTGAATACGATTTCTTCCCATTTCCCCCCACTTAGGATGAGAATGATGATGATGATGACTGGAATCCCTGTAAAGCAGCTGGGGTCTGCTTGATGCTTCTGGCAACCTGTTGTGAGGATGACATTGTACCTCATGTTTTGCCCTTCATTAAAGAACACATTAAAAATATAGATTGGCGATATCGAGATGCTGCTGTCATGGCATTCGGATGTATTTTAGAAGGCCCAGAACCAAACCAGTTAAAACCTCTTGTCATTCAGGTGAGAGAGGCTTGTGCTAAAAATATGAGTCCATTTCTTTTGAAATGAAGGCTTGCAAACTAGATAACTATTTGTAATTATATTAATTATGTCTCTTTTTGATTTAAAATTATTTCATAATATTCTGAGAATATCAGTTTCATTAGGAATAAAGTAAAGACCAGGTATGTACTCGACATTATGTTGAATTGACCCTAAGGCCAAAATGAATTTATCTTAAATATACTACACATTTAATTTGGTATCATTTTGATCAAATGAGTACGTGCCACAATCACAATACTGTTGGTGCAACCATTGTTTGGTACAAAAGGTCTGAAAGTCTTGTAGCATAATATATTGCTCTGGTACTACAAAGTGACAGGAGCCTTTAAGAAAGGCTCCATTCCACTTTCCTTCTAGAAAAGGACACCATGACAAGAAAACACAACTGTTATAATTATATTCTGCTTTAATTGCTTGTGATCGGAAAAGTGAATGGGTTCCTCTGCCTTCTGCAGTGATTTTGAGGAGTAAGTGATGGGGAGATAGTTTATCCCATGTCTAGCAAAGCACCATATTTGAAGAACATATTTTTATTGGCTGAAATATTGGCAAATCATATCAGATTCTGATATCACTTTATAAATACAGAACAACTTACTTGTAGTAATTCTTACATATTCTGTGTTAGAAGACTAAAATCTGTGTTTGTCTTTCATTTTGACAACTGCCAATTGAGGGACAAAAGATTCAGAACTAGCGCAAAGCAATATTGGTGCAGTATAGATGAACTATATTTTTCCTGCACTTTTGTGATACAGTACAGTAATTCAAAACAGTCTATACAATTAAATTTCTCCTAGATCCTGTGATTTAAACTGAAAGGCATTGGCACATCAGACTTACTTTACAGTTATTTTCAGTTAATTTTGTGCCTAGTTCAAGGGATTAGTGATTGCCTTTAAAATACTATATTGGCTTGAATTGAATCAAAGATCTGAAAAGAGCCGTTTTCATTTGTGATCCAGTTTGCATCCTAAGATTTGTGAAAAGGATTTCTTTTTAAAAAAAATTAAATCAAAATGATGCAAAGACTTGGCATCTGTAAGTGGACAAAGAAATTACAAAAGTTATACAATTAGTACTCAGTGCATTGGTGCTGACAAATTAACCAGAAAAAAGAAAATACTTGAAATTTTTAACAATAAACAAAAATATTTTTAGAGATCTTTTTGAAGAGTGCCAGAGTTTCCACCATTTAAAACATTACAGATAAATATTTAATTTCTAACTTCATTGTTGTACTCTGGTATATATTTGTACTTCTTATTTCAGCTCCTCTTTTTCCCTTTTAAAATGTGCTCTAAAAACTTTAAAGAATATACTCCAAATGCTTAAATTTGTCTAATTACATTGCCTCATTTAGATCTATTCACAGTAATGAAAAAGCAACTTTACCAACTCCTTGCATTTACTATAAAGGAAAGGAAAGCTGAAGACTATTTCAGTTTCTCTTAGTAACTGCTTCGCTTAACAACCAAGTTCCCAGTCTTAACTGCAGTTGCTAAATAAAATGCAGTATGTAATATATATCGAAGCCATTCTTGTTTAAATTGTCAAATTTCTGTTATGAATATATGCTGGTAATTTTGCAATTACTGTACATTCTGCACATTACGTCTGATATCAGTAACATATCAGAAAATAAACATTTTCTGGTACTATGTTAAGTTTGCCATTGCAACAATGAACTTAAGTAATTTCATATATGTATACATACACTGCACAATTAGATAAGTTGTGTTTTAGAGGATTAATTTCATTATTGAACAATTACAGTGCTCTTTGTCAATCCAAATCTTAATAAACCTCAAAACTGAATATTTAAGAAATCAAAATGAAGTTTTGGCTTTTTTAGGAGAATATATGTGCACAGTTATTGGGCAACTATTAATGTGCAGAATTATTATGCAACTAAATGGAAAATGAAAATTTTCCCATCTCATTTATTTGCATCTGAGAATAATAAACAACTCAAAATGTACAAATAAAAATGTACAAGATTCTTTATCAATGACCAACATAGCCACCCTTCTTTTCAATAACGGTCATAAGCCTTCCATTCATGGAATCTGTCAATTTCTTGATCTGTTGACGATCAATTTTTTGTGCAGTAGCAACCACAGCTTACCAGGCACTGTTAAGAGAAGTGTACCGATTTTCTTAAATTTCCCATTTAAGCAGGGCCCACAAGTTCTCAATAGAGTTTAGGTCAGGTAAGGAAGGGGGCCATGTCATTATTCTTTCATCTTTAAGGCTTTTATTGGCTAGCCACTCAGTGGAGTACTTTGATATATACGATGAAGCACTGTCCTGCATTAAAACATGATCTTGAAAGATGCAGACTTTTTCCCCATACCACTTCTTGAAGAAAGTGTCTTCTAAAAACTAGCAGTAGGTTTGGGAATCAATTTTGAGTCCATCTTCAACCTGAAAAGGTCCAATTATTACTCATCTTGAATAATACCAGCCCATACCAATACCCCACCTCCACCTTGTTGGCGTCTGTGTCAAAATGGAGCTCTGTGCCCATCACTGATCCTGCCATGGGCCCATCCATCTGGCCTGTCAAGAGTCACTATCATTTCATCAGTCCATAAAACCTAATCTGTCTTCAGATATTTCTGGGCCCAATCTTGCCGTTTCAACTTAAGTGTGTCATTCAGTAGTGATTGGGCTTCAGAATTCCTTACCTTGGCCATGTCTCTGAATAGTGAACACCTTATACTTCTGGGCACTCCAGATAGGTTGCAGTTCTGGAATACAATAGCACTAAGGGATAATAATTCCTGGTAGATTCACATTTGATTCCTCTCCAATTTTTAGCACTTAATATGCACCTTTTTCTCAACACATTTTATGCAACCCTGTTGACCATTTGCAACAAAATGCGTGAAGGTTCTGTGACCATGTCCCAATATCTTCACAATTTCAAGAGTGCTGCATCCTTCTGAAAGATATTTTGCAATTTTTGACTTTTCAGATTCAGATTTTTGGCCCATTTTGCCTGAGGGAAAAATACTGCCTAATAATTATGCATACTTTAATATAGGGTGTTCATCTCCTTAGGCCACACCCTCATTATACAAATATACATCACCTAATATGCTTATATCCACTAAGCATTCAGAGGTGGAAATATGTATTAAAATGATATGGTCAAAATACTTTCTTGCCTAATAATTGTGCACGTAGTGTATACACATGTATGTATGTAAGTAATAACTGCAGATTGGTCGGCACCTTGAAAGTCCTCCCTTTGCCATTTAACTTTCAACTTACTTTACCCTTGTTTTTACTATCTCCTTTTATTAAGGTTATAGGATATTATGTTTTTAACTATATCCTGCCCAGACTCTCTCTGGGTAAGTAAGTTGGGCAGTACCTAAATTTGAGAAATAAATAAATGTCCATAACATATAGTAAGAGCTTTTTCCCCCCTATAAGCTTTCATGTTTAATATGTCCAGTGTCTTCTCTCCCTACTTGCCCCCAGATATGCTTTCAGTTTGCTTGGTTATTAATAATTAATCCCAGTACCTGTGTATTACATGCTAATATTGTCAATGTTTTATTGTTTATTGTATAAGATTTATTAAATACTCTGCTAGTTTTATTGTGCATAAGATTTGCTAAATTGGCTCAAGTTTGCTTGTTCAATATTTGAATACTGAATGGCAAACAATGAACTTGAAATCTATGTGATATATTTCAGCTACAATGTTATATTATTCAGTATTTTGGAGTAACTGTATCTAATTATGTAACTATGCTTCCAAATAAGCCTGATTTACAACTTTTCTGGCCTGGGATCTAATTGAAGAACAGAAGGAGGCAGTTGGAAATACAAGGATTTTGAAAACTACTTTAGACAGATTGACAGTGGACCATTTTTCTCCTAGGCTATGCCTACTCTTATAGAATTAATGAAGGATCCCAGTGTTGTAGTCAGAGATACAACCGCCTGGACTGTGGGTCGGATCTGTGAGCTATTACCTGAGGCAGCCATAAATGATATTTATCTTGCACCATTGCTGCAGTGTCTAATTGAAGGCTTGAGTGCAGAGCCAAGAGTGGCCTCCAATGTATGCTGGGTAAGTGAGAATTCTTATTCTGAATAAACATTTGGGTGCTGGATAAATTAGAAAAATAAGGCTTGTTGTTTTGAATCTGTACTTGCTCTCAATGTACAGATAGTCCTCGACTTATGACCACAATTGGGACCTGAATTCTATTACTAAGCAACGTCATTAAGTATTTATGATTTTTCTTTTTGCCATGGTTAAGCAAATCACTAGTCATTAACCAACTCCCTCTGTCATTAAGCAAATTTGGCTTTCCCATTTATTTTGCTTGTCACTAGCTGTCTAGGAAGGTTGTATATGATGATCATGTGATTTAAGAACAATGCAAATATCGTAAATACATTCTGGTTGCCAAGTGTGCAAATTTTGATTATGTGACCATGAGGCATATAATAGTCATGCTACGTTTTTCAGCATCGTCGTAACTTCAAATGGTTGTTATATGAATGGTCATAAATGGAAGGTAATCTGTATAAAGTTACAGATAAAACCATTGTGCTAAGGAAAAAAATGTGATTGGACCTATTATTTGACTTTTTAATTTATCAAATAATAGAGTAAGAAGATGTTAAAGGTGCAAGGTTGAAGTCAACATTAGAAAATTTAATTTCTTGGGCTGAAAAACAGTAACTTACCAAAATAGGAAACTTCCTGAAATTGTCAACTTCTAAATTACTGACACCTAATATCTTTCAGGCGTTCTCTAGTTTGGCAGAGGCTGCTTATGAAGCTGCTGATGTGGCTGATGATCAAGAAGAGCCTGCAACATACTGCTTATCCTCATCCTTTGAATTAATTGTTCAAAAACTTTTAGAGACCACAGACAGGTAATTTAATAATTCTTTATCTATTCGACCATGTCTGAATGAACTTCACGAAATCCTCAAAATCTATTATCCTCAAAATAAAATCTCCACAACCTCTGAAGGGTAAGGTGTAATATCACTAGGTTGGTTTTGTAATTATTGGGAACCATTTACATGTATTATAATTCCACAAAATTGCAGAAAAGTTACAGACATGCAATTTTGGCACAAGCCATATTGTTGCAATGTGTATGAATAATATCCACTAAAACAGTAGAGTCGAAATAAAAAGTTCTGGAATATACTTGGAAGATCTAAGCCCGTGATGGCAAACCTATGGCATACGAGAGGTCGCCTGGAAGAGCCCCACTGCGCATGTGCACGCGCTCTCCACCAGCCAGCTGATTGTTGGGTATCTGCCGCACATGAGCGGGGGGAACGTATGTGTGGGAGATGGCCATGTGTGCATGCGCAGAGGCATCCTGCAAACATGGGGGGTCATGCGCACATGCACGGGGTTGCACACGCATTGTATTATGGGTGCCAGCACGTAAGCGCGCACACTTTCAGCACGTGACGTGGAAAAAGGTTAGCCATCACCGTTCTAAGCCTTTAACAAGAGAAGCAAAACATTATACAGAAGAGAAAATTTAAAAAAAAACATGCAAGTGTATTTAACACATAATTTACTTAGGTTGCATGGTTATGATCCTCTTCCAATAGAATATAGAACTTGGACAGAATTTTGGTGTTGTTTTTTTTCAGGATCAAGCATATGGAACAATAAAATATAAGCATTTTGAAAAATCTGCATTTAATCTCTGACTTTCAACATGACTAAATTTTGCAAAAAAATTAGCTGATTTTTTGACTAAATTTTGCAACAAAATGGAGCATGGAGCATGGAGCTATGTAGTATTAAAACAATTCATGTTTTAAGCAAGCTTTGCACCTTCTTGGAATCTTTCCCTTTTATATTTCAGTTTAAAATATCTATATCTAAAAACGATCTATAAGATGATTTGTCCTCTTTTTTATTACGAACTCCAATAACTATCATAGGTTAAAACTGAGAGACCAGTTTAGAATAAAATATGTAGCAGGGTTTTTATTTTGCCTAGATTTCATGATTTTCTTTCCAAAAAAAAAAAAGGCTCCTCTTCATTGGTTCCTTTCCACGCTCCCGACCTATCAGTAATATAGATCAAAGCAGTGAAAGTTCCTGATTATGAGCTTTGGTTTCATGGGAAAAACAGATATATATGCTTTTGAATCTAGGGTATGACATGTGGTGGTAGGTTTTACTTCTCATTTACAAAATACCAGGACAATTATTTTTAAAAAAACTATCATATCCAATGTAGAATTATTTAAATCACTATTGAATCTTATGTAAGTTATTTGACATAAGCTATTTATTTGCTTGACATATTTCCTGACTTGACTGCATTCATGCCCTGGTCAAGAGAATTTTGTTTTATTATTACTTAATGCTTATAGGTTGTAAATTTATACATACCTGGTTATTGCAACAAGAACTAATTTTGTTTCAGTAATATCCCTGCCTCCAAACTGAATCAAAGTAATTCAGATTCTGTCCTATGTTATCTAATTCTATAAGCTGACAGCCCTTTGAGAATACTCTTATTCCATCACTATTTGACATTTTGCAAGCAATTCTGCAATGTTTGTAGATAAACAATTTAATGTGATTTTATTATATTTCTGTGCTAGCTTTCAAGTTACTTTAAAATGCAATTACTGTACACGTATCCTTCACCTACCAAATTTTTGTTCATCAGTCATTCAAACTTACAACAGTGGTGAAAAAATAGCACATAACACTAAATACAGCCTGTTTATGACCTTTACAGTGTCCTTTGATCACTTGATCACCATTAAAGTCAGCATGTGTGTCATGTGCCTGATTCATAAACACATAAGCTGCTCATTTAACTATCTGCAATCCTCACTTGACAATGGTGACTGCCAAGACTGCTCTACTAAGCAACACATTGCACATTGCATCATCTCACTTAATAATGGCGATTTCTGTCAACCCAAGAACTGCCTGTACTATTAACTTGTTTTGCTGTAGAAGATCCTTCATATTCTAGATCTTGTCTTACTACTCAGTGTCTTATAAACTATTGAACTACTATGTTGGATCTGTGGTTAGATTTCCATATAACAATTAGTTTGGATACATTGGGATGCTGTAGCGTAAAATACATCACTCTGAAACAATAGGCACACATTTCTTGTGTCAGCTAAAGAAAAAATTGGACTTTTTCCAAATGTCTATGGAGATTCTCAGTCATCCAGATTATGGTTGTCCCAAAGGTGCTTTTTAAAGAGGCAACTGGACTTAATTTTTCTTTAAAGAGTCATCCATGCTTCTGCTCTGACTGGATGGTGGGGAATGAAAGGATTTATATTCTTTAAGGACAGCTGGTCATTTGCATTGTTTTAGGGAGTTGTTGAGGCCACTTTGTCTGTGTCCTCTGGGTCACTTGAATAGTCCAAATGGGTATGGAGCTTTCTTGGAACTGCTGAATGGATTGTGTTGGATAGTTCATTGGCATTTAATTGTGTCTGTGTACTAATATAATCTCACAATTCCTATTTGTATATTTTTTTTAGGCCTGATGGACATCAGAACAACTTAAGGAGTGCTGCATATGAAGCGCTGATGGAAATTGTGAAAAATAGTGCCAAAGACTGTTATCCTGCTGTTCAGAAGACAACTTTAGTTATCATGGAACGGCTGCAACAAGTGCTCCAAATGGAGGTTAGTTTGGAAATCTAAAAAAATGTGATAGTATTCCCCCAAATGTGTGATCTCTAAAAAGAAAAGCTTAACTTGGGGAGTTGTATATATATATATATTTCATGGAAGTTTTGCATGTTTTCTATGATTCATGTTAAATGGACTGACTGAGTCAAAATTGAAATTAAAATATTGATTGTATAAGAGATTTGTGGGCTAAGGATTGGGTGAGGGACACTGTTATCTATACTGGGGTTTTCCATTGCATGCACGTGCCTATGATCTGGTGATCATTGTTAGATTCTAATTAAACATAGTATAAGTTTTTAAACCTTCTCAGACTGAAAGATGGCCAATGAATATCCTTATTCAAATGCACACTTACAATCAGAATTTGTTCTGGTTGTAGGTCTTATTATTCCCAATCAACTTATATGTCAGATCTTCAATAGAGATAACAGTTTTAAAGAATATTTCAAATGCTAAACATTATTTTTTCTCCAGTCTCATATCCAGAGCACAAGTGACAGAATCCAGTTTAATGATCTTCAATCTTTACTTTGTGCTACGTTGCAGGTAAAAACTTAACATTTATTACTGATTATATAAGTGTTTACAGCTCTAAACTGTAAAGCATTCAGTATAAGGACTATAAGTAATATTTAGGAGAAAACAAATCTGTATTGAATTTTTTACAGATCAAGTGCCCTCTTGGTTCAAATTTGAATTTTTCTTTGCAATTTTTGAAAATCAATGGTATATAGAAAAAGAAAGTAATACATTGGTGCGTTGTTTAAGACAAGAAATAATCTCACCAACTGGTCCCAGAAGTAGTATTGTCAAAGAAAGAGATGGAATCTTACTAATTTAGCAGATGCCCAGCTAAAGTTAACTATCATTGTTCCATTGTATTTTGCTAAATAGGTATAAAGAAATTAGTACCTATTTCTAGACTAAATTAGCATCTAGAGGAGAATATCTATCCAGATAAGAGATAGTTATTATTAAATACTTGCTTATAGATTTTTCCAATTGTATAATTCATACCTATTCACATGATAAGACGAAAATGTAATTAAAAGTGAAATGTAGGGAGTAGAAGAAAACTTGCAGATAAAATTTCACTTTAACTTTCATCAAACAGAATGTCCTTCGCAAAGTCCAGCACCAGGATGCTTTGCAGATTTCAGATGTGGTGATGGCATCTCTTTTGAGAATGTTCCAAAGTACAGCAGGATCAGGAGGTGTCCAAGAGGATGCCCTCATGGCTGTTAGTACTCTGGTAGAAGGTAAATGTTTTGCTCTGCTAGTCAAGGGGATTTTTTTAACATTGAAGTCTCTATGAATACATAAGTGTTTGGGTTGTTCATATTCTTGTTTTATGTTACAATTGGGATATTCTATACATTTAGGATTTATATATTGGTCTTGACATAACAAATGTCAAAGAGATTTGTGAGCTAAGGTTTGGATGAGGGACATCAGATGATATCAGAAAATTATAAGGACATTTTAATGATTAGATTCCAATATAGGTAGTGAAAAATATAGCGAAGGCTGTTATAGAACAGACTCAAAGTTTTCTTTTGATTATTAATAGATAATACTTTAAAATGTTCATAATGTTATGTAGTGTTTTAGGCATAATAACAGTCAGAAGGCTTTGCCAAACAATTGTTTTGCTGTGATTATTATGTGAAGTAAATGAATAGAAAATGATTTATGTATCTTATTTTATTACCCTAATAGTGCAATTTAGTAATACAAGACATAAAACGCATGTTTTATTTTTGAATTTTATTTTTTAGAATAGTTAATAGAGAGATGTGAAGTGATAAGATTTGAAGTAGAGCTTTACTGTGAAAGAGGGTAAAATTTCTGACTAACCATTCAGGTGCATCTTTATGATTTACCTCAGGTCGCGACCGTAATCCGTTCCAGGACAATGGTCGCAACCCGATTTGGTCCTGACCAGAAGCATGACCGTCAGCATATGCGCGGACCAAAAAAATCCCCCCCAAAGCCCCAAAAAATTGGCGCTGAAGGGGAAATCGCCATGGCAGGGGAAATTGCTGTGGCGATTTTCGGGTTTGTTGGTCACCAACGAAGGTCTGTTCATGACCAGAAGCAAAAATTCTGGTAGTCACCCAATCTGGTTGTGAACAGAAGCGTTCGTGACCCGAGGTTCTACTGTATTTTCCTCCAAGATGGTACTTAGTTGCAGCAGTTTTTGATCTCTTGCAAAAGATTCTATAAAACACAACTAAGCTTAAATGGATGGAGCTGAAACTGGATATGAAAATATGTTTTGGATCTCAGCTTAATCTTTTATTCTTTTTACCTGATCAAATCTCATTGACTGGGAATAAACTAGTTGAATATGGGAAGGGAATTGTTGACATATAGGCAGAAGAAATATTAGCCTGCTCCCAATTTTCTTACAATGTTTAGAACAATAAAGTGCAGTTGATTTTTGAAAAAAACACATTGGGAGGTCATTGTCAAAACTTGATTGTATATTTGGTTTTTATTGGTAAATACCATGTTTCCCCGAAAATAAGACCAGGTCTTCTTTTCTTTTGGCCTTGAAATAAGCACTTTGGCTTATTTTAGGGGAGGTCTTTTATTAGTGCAGTGGCCTGTGGGAGTGGGAGCTCAGCTACTGCTGGCCCTGCCCTCTTTGTCTCAGTGTCTGCTTTCCTGCGGCTGCAATGGGCCAAGCTCTTGGGATGTCCCGGCCTCCATCTGCCCTGCCTGCTGATCTAGCTGCTGCCGGGACACCTCTTGGCTGCAGCAGACAACTTGCAGCCTGCCAAGTGGCTGTGCATGCTGCTGCTGACCTCGCAGGGACTCTTTGCCCTCCTGGCAGACAGTGGGACAAAGAGGGTGGGACCAGTAGTAGAGGGAGACGAAGCTTTCCTTGTTAAAGAGGACCCTTTCAAATGGAGCTAATTGTTCGTTTCAAGCCATTCCCTTTGCAAGCAACAAAGCTTTGAATCTCTGTCATGTCTGTCAAGGTTGACTCAGTCTTCCATCCTTCCAAGGTGGGTAAAATGAGGACCCAAATTATTGGGGGCAATATGCTGACTCTGTAGAGCGCTTAGAAAGGCTTGGAAAGCACTGTGAAGTGGTGTATAAGTCTTAAGTGCTATTCTTCTGTCTGGGGGAAAACTGTTTGGTTACTTATGGGATGCTTGGGAACGGAGCAATTTTCTCCTTTCTCAGACACTCCATAGGCGACCAAACATTTTTTTGCCTGGACAGAGACTCAAATTTGTGTGCTTGCAAAGGGGACATTTTGAGATGGAGCAATTAGGTCTGTTTCAAAGCATCCCCTTTGCAAGTACATGAAGTTTTGTCTCCCTGTGAGTGAAAAATGCACACTAGAGCCAGGCAGAGATGTTCCCAACTTGCCGCTCCCTCCGTCCCACCATCTCTCGGCTTGCCTATGGCCACCTGCCTCCCCCCATGCCTCTGCCTGCTGTTAGTGCCTCCGCGCAAGCCTCCTGCGAGTCTCCCGTGAATCCGGCATCCATGCAGCACATCTGTATCATCTGTCTTCTCCCCCTCCCACCTTTGCCTCCATGCTCGGACTTATCAGTATTTGCGTTGCGTCAAGGGGTCAGCAGGCTGCAACTGCTGCTGGACAGTTGACCCCATGTGCTCATGCCTCTCATGCTGGCCATGCCCAACCCCCCAGGCTTGTTTTCAAGGTAAGGCTTATATTAGGCCTACCACAAAAAAAAATCAGGCTAGGGCTTGTTTTTTGGGTGGGTCTTATTTTGGGGGAAACATGGTATAAGTGTAGAATTTTCAACATTTTTGTGGTTGAGGCAGCGATTATTGCTAGTGTTGTGATATGGAAAAATGAGAGATGTTAATAAATTTATATATGTTTTCCCTGTTGTGGAATGGGAATAACTATATTAACCCCTATTTACTGAATATTGCTGTTATAACCAGTTGTAGTCCTAGGTTTACCAAAAGAAGAAAAGGATGGGTGAATAAACATCCCTAGAGTTTTGAGAGCTACAAATTCATCTAGGCTATGGGTACTAATTTATTAATTTTAGATATCTCATATTTTTCATTTTGTTCAGTATTAGGAGGGGAGTTTCTCAAGTACATGGAGGCCTTCAAACCTTTTCTGAATATTGGTTTAAAAAATTATGCTGAATATCAGGTAAGGCCCTTTTCCTTGTCTTAAAAAGCAATTGGTTGGTATTATGTGGTATATATTTTTCTAATATATTTTTGGGATTTGGACAGAATTGTGGTATCATTCTTTTTTATTCTTGTAGTGTTTTCACTATCTAGGAGTCATTTTATTTTAGGATCTGTGAAAATAGACAGCTGTCAATATAACAAAGTTCTTTTAACCTATAACCTCACCACTGAATCTTGAAGCTGTTAGCAGCTGAAACATTTCTCTTTCTCTGTCTCTTCCTCCCTCCCTCCCTCTCCCCTCTCTGGCTGCAGTATAAATCATTCATTTTTTTCAATTTATACTTTTTTCCCCAATATATATATTTTCAAGTATATTTATGTAATTACAATAAAATAAACATTTTAATAAAAATATTTTACAACAATTCTTCAGCAGACAAGAATTTTAATAATAATTTATACATAAGCATTAAAATTGCTTAGTTTCAGTAGTAACAGCAAGCATAAAATTTCCTGCCATACTAAGCCCGATATCTGCTCAGGTTAACTGGCAAACACTCTTTACAATCACTTGTTATCCAAAACCATCCTATTTGTTGTAGAATATTGGGCATGAAAGATCACTTCCACATCTGAAGATCTAATGCCTATGCCCAGGAATCAAAGGAGGTAATGTCTAGGCCTGGATGACAAATTGAAATGACAAATTCTTCTCCAATTAAAGAGCTTTTATTTTTGGGCTCCATGATCCCAGATAAATCAGGTCTTTTATATTAACAATGGAGTTTTATTTTATTACAGAACAAGTCAAAGAATAAGAGAACCAGTTTGCTCTAGTGACTTCCAGTCCAACTTTAGGCATTAAGCCAATTGATTGATTTAGGCACAGTCATTTTATTTCAGCCCTCAGAAAGAGTAAATGGCAAACCACTTCTGACATTTTGCCAAGAAAATTGTAAGTACTTGTCTAGGCAATTGGCAGGAATCAACACTGATTTAAAGGCACAAATAAAGTAATATTTCTTTGTGACTATAAACATAATAGTCCCGTCCACCTTGGGCAACCCCCCCCACACACACTCTAACAGTTCTGCATTTAATAGTTAACAAAAAGCTATGAATCAAATATCACAAATACCATACAGACTTAAATGGCACTAATTTAATGGAGTTAGTTTATATAATTTTATAAAATCTGAGAGGTAGCTAAAGGGACAGAGGAAACATGCCCTGAATGGTTTCTTCGTAGATTTTAAGGCGGCTAAAGAAAAGAGAACTTAAGGGGCTTAAGCAAGTGAAAAAACTGTTGGTATAGGAGAAATTGTTAGAAACAATGGTCATCTCATTGATTACCCATTATTTAGAATAAGTTGAATACAATGAATTGTTTGGTTACAACAAAGCAATAATAGGAGATTGTGTTTGGAAAAGATTTTCACAACATATTGAAAAAGTGAGAAAACCTTGATGTCAAGAGAGAAAAAAGGGAGAGGAGAGGAGGAAGAAAAATCAGGAGTCAGATATCCTTAACCAAATGTTTTTAAAAATTGCATCACAAATAAAAGTATTAAATAAAAATTCCCAACAATCACAAGACAAAATACTAAATAAAATGAAGTATAAACAGAGTTTAAAATATTAACCTTTTAAAAATGCAATTATGAATATGGCAGAGTGCAAGCAATACAAAATATATATATATCAGTTAAAAACAGTTACAAAGCAGACCAACTACAAAATCATAAAGCAAGAGGCTGTTATTTTGAGCAAGTCATCAAACATTTCCAAGAATTGACTATTCGATCTCTAAAGTTCTTACACCATTTCTCAAGGAAGTAGAGATACATGGACCATGATCCTTTTAAATGGAGGATGAATGAGAGGTTGTTGAACAACGCCTCGAAACATATTACAAATATGCCAAAAAGAATTACTTTTAAAAATAAATATGATTCTGTGTCTATTAAAGATAACCACATGAGAGACAAAGTAGCTTACAAGAAGGAACTTCTTATGAGGTTTGCAATAAATCAGAAAATAAGGAAATAAATTGTTATACATGAGATCAGAAATGACAAAACTTGAAGAATTTTTATAAGAGATTCTATTCTAAATATAGTATTGATAAAGAAGATTTGAACATTAGTTGGAGAGTCAGGTTTAAAGAATTTACTGAATTAAAAGGAAACCCATAACAGTTTAAGAGCTCAAAGAATCAATTTCAACAACAACAAAATGGGAAGGCAGCAGTAATATTTCTAGATGCAGAAGAAGCTTTTGATAAATTTGGGGTGTCCTTACAACCATTTTTAAACAAAATGAATACATTAGAATTTAAAATTTTGGAGGAGAGTATTTATTGGTGACAAATTATAGCAGATGGAACACTCACAAGTTTTCCAATAAAGTACAAGAAAAAGGGTTCCTACTTTCTCCATTATTATTTGCTTTAGAAGTGTTTGCAGATAAAATCTGGAAAGACAAGCAAATATTTAGGATCAAAATTCAAGCGGAGGAATACAATGAAATGTTATGTGGAAACGTAATGTAGTTAGTCATTGATGTCTATGAGCTCCAAAGAGTTCTAAAAACTTCAGTAATTCTCGATAGGGAATTAATGAGAAGAAAGAAAGATGATAACAAGATATATATAACCTAAGAGGGTTACACGATATAGTGTGACTATGAAATAACAAAAAAATCCAGTGAAATATTTGGGACTCTATTTGACACAGGATGCAATATATCAGAACATCTATAATAAATCATTGGGCAGTGGGTGGGGCGGGGGAATGAAACAATAGCTTGATACAGAAATCTAAAACTTCCTTGGATAGGGATTGTAAAAATGAATATTCTACTCAAGATGAACTTATTCCAAATAGTGTTAATTGTACTCTTAAGACAAAAGCTGAGAGTTGGCAAAGAATAATTAAAAGGTTTAGTTGGAGTAGAAGAAAACCAAAATATTCAAACTTTTGCAGATTCAAAAGGAAGAAGCAGGTTTGCATTTTATAATTTTAAATTACATTATTCTGTAAGATATCTCATGGATAACAAAATGTGTAAAATCTCAGAATAGGAGAATATTCATCATAGAAGGAGCCAAATTAGCAAATGGATTATGGTAAGAAGAAAATAATTTGAAATAACATTATAAGATAACATTAGTTAATATGGAATCTTCTAAAAGAAAGATTGTGACTTCACTATTCTCTTCAGTCAAACACCTTTTATTTCAGGGGCAACCACAGCAAGTAGTTTTTCAAGATAGTAATTACAGTACAAAAGATTGGGAAAGATATGGGAAAGACCAATAAAATTTACTGCACAAGGGGAAAATGATGTAAAATTTGCATACAATATTGGAAAAGAAAAACTTTGCCAATCATACAAAATTGAAAAACTAAAATTGGAGAATATAGTCAGCAAAGGTAACATAATCTGTAATAGATACATTGTAGCATCTTTGAAGCATGCTGCCACAATTGAGGAATTGCCTTGTAGGCTCCACTAGGATTGTAATAGGGCAAGGAAATAATGATTGGTGTCTCAGGTGAGGTGAAAAATGACTCATGAAAGTATTGGCTATATTTGTTTTTGCAGGTCTGTTTAGCTGCAGTTGGACTAGTGGGTGACCTGTGCCGGGCTTTGCAATCCAACATTTTACCCTTTTGTGATGAGGTTATGCAGCTTCTATTAGAAAATTTGGGGGTGAGTAATTTTTTCTAAAAGCAAAAGAAAAATAAAATTTCATATCTACCGTGTTTCCCCCCAAAATAACATGTCCTGAAAATAAGGCCAAGCCTGATTTTTGGGGTAGGCCTAAATACAACCTCCCCCCAAAATAAGCCCTAGTGAAGGGGGTGGGTATGGCCAGTGGAGGAGGCAGCTGTTCCCCAAATCAGCTAATGGCAGCTGGGCCCTTAATTGGGACGCGCAAATCAACTGAGCTGATTGGGAGCTGCCTTTCCTTCTATCTCTCTGAGTGCCTAGAGATGTTTCTTGTACACTCTTGCCAGCCCCAGCCGCACTGTGGCACCAGGCAACCTTGTTGAGTCCTGATCTGGGGCTCACCATACCTAGGGGTGGTGGTGGGAGGCACGAAGCTGCAACCATCGGAACTAGCAAATCCAATGACGAGCAAGGCTGTGGCAGCAGTACACATCAGGACAGTGCCGGCCAGCTGTTTGTCAGCAAGCTGCTCTCCTGGCTGGGTCTGGCTGCAAGCAGCACCGGCAGGCAACAAGGTGCATGGCCTGCACAAAGAACAGGGAGGCAGTGATGGGACATCCAGTTCCAGCGGCATAGCCATGGTGCAGAGTCCTGTGAAGCATGGTTGGAAGCTCATGCACGCTTCCCAGGACTCTGCACCATGCTGTCCCGCTGCCTCTCTGTTCTTCGTGCTGGCTATGCATCTTGTTGCCTGCTGCCACCTCCTCCCTGTTCTTCATGCCAGCCGCGCATCTCATTGCCTGCCAGTGCCGCTCACAACCAGACAGCTGGCCAGGAGAATGGCCTGCTGACGAGCGGCTGACCAGTGCTGGCCTGACATGTCCCGCCACCACCTCAGCCTCATTCTCCAGCTCCAATGGTTGCAGCTCTGTGCCCCCACCACCACCAGTGGTTGAGGTAAGACTGTTCTTGAAGGGGACACAAAGTGTGTGGGGTCTCCTGTTGCTTTTGCAGCCTCAATTGGCTGCAAGAGTGGCCAGGATTCTTTTAGGCGGCAGCTTGAGGTTCCGCGGACCAAGTGCTAATAAGAGGAGCAGCTTTCCCCCCACGGGGGGGGGGGGGGGGAATAAGACCACCCCCAAAATAAGGCCAAGCGCTTATATTGGGGTTCGAAAGAAACAGGGTATTAGTAAAAGGTATGTAAAAAAATCCTAACAATGTAAACATTGATTTTGACCTTATGACTTGTTTTTGACAAAGAAAGAAGTAAAGAAGCAGTATAGATAAAACTGAAATAGATTATGAAAATTATTAAATTATTAAAATGTCACGATTTCCCTTAAGACCTTTCCAATGAGTGTTGTTTTCTCACTTGAATTATAAATATGGAAATCTGCAATGCCATTTACTACCTTTTTAAAAAAATGTATTTTCATCTGTGGCTCACTAAATGGATTATGTTGGCTAATCTTTAATGAGATTAAAGTAATGGGTTAATACTGGGTTGCTAAGACTTGGGGGTACAGTCCTATCTGTATATGACAATTGAGGTCCATTGAATTAGTAAGAAATATGCTGAGAACTGAAATACTTTTTAGTTTCATTAATACAAAATGGGAAAAGCCCTTCGCACTTTGGGGGCAATATCTGATAGAATATAAGTATCAAACTTAATGTAATTTCTAAAAGCTAAACTGTTGGCTGTGAATAAAATTTTACAGAATGAAAATGTACATCGGTCTGTTAAGCCACAAATTCTCTCAGTGTTTGGAGACATTGCTCTTGCAATTGGAGGAGAATTTAAAAAATACTTAGACGTTGTACTAAATACTCTACAGCAAGCTTCTCAAGCCCATGTTGATAAGGTAAACAATCTTTTGGATCAAATGTCTATGGAAATTCTCAATCATCCAGGTCATGGTTGTCCCAAAAGTGCTTTCTTTTGTTTTCTTTTTCTTTATATTCAAAAAGCAACTGGACTTTCTTGGGTTTTTTCCTTTGAAAATGCTTCACTTCTCATCCAAGAAGCTTATTCAGTTCTACCTAATTGAATGGGGAATGGAAGGATTTATATTTTTTGCAGTCATCCAGTCATACACCCAAAGAGTTGTTGTGGCCACTTGTGGGTTTATCTGTATCCACAGAATCATTTAAAGCAGAGTATAAACGGGTATGGAACCTTCTTAGGACTACTGAAAGGACTGTGCTGTAAGCAGGAGATAGGTATCCCTCCCCCTCTTCTGAGAGGGAAGGGGAAAAAGCACCTTTGGAGTAATATTTGGGTCCTATATGTTTGAGATAGATGATGGACAGGCAGAGGGAGGACAATAATCCCCAGGTAACTCTTATGTTTGTTCTTAGTCTGATTATGACATGGTAGAGTACCTGAATGAATTGCGGGAAACCTGTCTGGAAGCATATACAGGCATTGTTCAAGGTCTGAAAGGAGATCAAGAGAATGTACATCGTAAGTTCCTTTTTAAAAATTTCCTTGAGTACTACAGATACAAAACTTTGTGCATGAGGTTCAATTTCTGCCAATGTTTAACTCCTCTTAATAATAATGGGAAATTGTCAGTGCAAGGCTTCATATTTTGCCTTGTTTTAAGATTGAGCTATTACCTTAGAAAACATGGTTGCATTCTTTATTGCTCCTTGTATGAGGTTTCAGGGTGTTTTGGTGGCATTTAACTATATTTTTACAACTGGTGCCCTAGTTACCAGATGGCCTTTGTTTGCATCTATATTTTTATTTAAAAAAACCAAATCTTTTCTGAAATAAAACATGTACATACACAGTTGTTACTTTTAGTTTAGGTTTCATTTAGAACCTCTGCCTGAGTTCATCCTTTAATGTTTCCTGTTTAAGAATATATTTTAGGAATAGTTTGATGTGTACCCAGCCCATTCTAAGAAATCAGAAGTTTTCAGAATAATAAATGAGATATTACAGGGTGAACAAGAGTTGTGAGATTTGTAGAGGTTAATATCTTTGAGTTTTTCCCCCTTTCTCTTCAATTTACTTTAAAATGGCATACAATACACAATTTTAGACGGTTACTTTTGGAATAGGGTATGTCAGGTTTTTAAAAATTAAAAGGTTCTTTTCCTCAACTGTTAACCTGCATTAAAATCAATTGACATAAGATAAGGAGTTGTGAATGTGAAATAGATAATGTTAGAGGCAAAAGAAACATGTTTTCTAACCAAACCCCAGTGCTATATTCCTATACCCCACAAATTTATGAATGTCATCTGTTCTAGTGCACTAACCAATAAATGTTAGTGAAAATATTCTATGTGGTTAAAAGCTTTTGAGTTTTCAGTCACAAAGCTGTATCTCCCTTGTCTCTCAAGTACTTCTTATGTAAGACATATATCAATTTTTATATGAGCACTAAAACAGTTTTAAGATAGCAGGTAGAAGGAAGGTATGAAAGCAATGTCGGAGAAAAGAATGTAATTTTTGTAGGATACAAGTTAGGTCTATCCGTTGAACAGAATTTTAAACCTTCCAGAATTGTTGTTATTGATAGGAAGAAATAAATAAGCCCATAATATAACACTATAAAACTAAATTATGCTTTCTTTCCAGCGGATGTGATGCTGGTGCAGCCTAGAGTAGAATTCATCTTGTCTTTCATTGACCACATTGCTACAGATGAAGATCATAGTGATGGAGTTGTAGCCTGTGCAGCAGGACTGATAGGGTAAATGCTGAAGATTTATGATGTATTGGGTCACAGTCTCGCCTCTTATGAAGATGATATACTTTACCAAGAGCTTTTTTAACCTTATCAAACCTCTAACACTATTTAATATTGGCCCACTATCAAAATTTAAATCTGTTAAATTGCCATAACACTACTCTGTTAAATTCTTTTTGTCCTTGTTTAGTAATGGGACTGTGATTTGTAACTAAGTGATACGGTTGTAAAGTGAGGCATGTGACTGCTGCTTAGAAACAGTTCTAGCATCCCCTCATAGTTAAACAAATCACTAGTCATTAAGTGAATCACTATGGGTATATTAAGTGAAGAGTTAATGTGACCATGACTTGCAGTTTCCTGCCAGCTTCTCTATTGACTTTGCTTCTGGGAAATCAACAGGAAAGTTAGTAAATCATGTTGACATTACCGCAAGATGCCATGATGTTTGGAAATCCAAGCCATTGAGCAACCAGATCATAATCACACTATCATGGGGCACTTTGACAGCCAGAATTTCGAGGACTGATAATACCTACCACTGATTCAGCGCTATTGTAAGTTTGAATAGTTGCTGAACAAGTGGTTTTCAATCAAGGCCCTCCTGCACTTATTTATTCAATTAATTTATATGCTGTACATATCACAGATATAAAACTGGTGGCTCACAACATATGAAACCAATAAAAACAATATCATTGTTATGAGATTCATATGCTATAGATTCTATAATGTATGTCAGATGTATGTATGTCAAATGCAAGCAGTGGCAGTGCTCCAGTCACCCTGGTTTCCCACCCTCATGCTCAGGAAAACATCTAGCTTTTCAGTGCTTTGCCAAAAGGCTTGCAAGGTTACCACAAATCTAATCTTGGGGGAGAGCAGTGTTGTTCAGAGTTCATGTGCTGAACAAGACCTACATTCTAGGTCCCATTAGATGCATTATTTAATTGATGAGACTCAGAGTGAGTTCTTCCTATCAAGTCTACTTGGATGAGCAGTCCTTCAAATAACCCAGCCCCATGCCATGAGGTGATAATCAGCATCCTGAATTCCACCCAGAAGCCAATATAGCTGGCTAGTGGCCTTGAAGAACAAAGCAGGTAGGGAAACAAGCAGATGAGCTACTTCATTGTAAAGCTACATTGACAGAATCTGAAAGTACAGTACTTACTACCACCCCAATCTCCTTTACAACCCAAGAAACCAGGGAGGAGCCCTACTCGTGAGCATCTTGCCCTGCCTACTATCCTGCTGCAGGCTGTGCCTTTTTTGTCTTACCATTCCCTTGCCTGAGTCTCTGGGGTAATTGAGCATACATTCTGGATCAGTTGCAACTTCCAGAGGGTCTTCAAGGAAATCCCCAAATAAAGTACATTGCAGTAATTTACTTTGTGGATGGAAATAATTTTTGATTTATTATCACAATGGATCCAGAACTTTGGTCACAGATTGAGGCACCATTGAGACCAGATATGGTATTACTACTGTTTTTACACAGTCATAAAGCAAATCTCTGCAGTTTTTAAGCAAACTGCATGGTAATTAAGCAAGTCCACCATACTCAATAGGTACTTTCTGCTGGGAAATAGCAAAAAAATGCAAATTGTGATCAGCAGGTTCCTGCAACTACTTGTAAATGTGAGCTGATTGCCAAGCATCTGAAATGTGACTGCAGGGGGGTGGAATGAGCAGCATTCGTAATTTGAAAGAGTCAAGAAACTTTGAACTACCCACAACACATACTGCGAGTTTCTCTATATTTGTTTTTTACAGGGATTTGTGCACAGCATTTGGGAAAGATGTCCTCAAGATGGTAGAAGCTAGGCCCATGATACATGAACTACTAACTGAAGGAAGGAGATCAAAGACGACCAAAACAAAAACCCTTTCTACCTGGGCCACTAAAGAGTTGAGAAAATTGAAGAATCAAGCTTGGTGAGAAGGCTCCAACTTTCTTGTTCTTTAAAGCAAACTGAGCTATTCAGTTTGTATTAGAAGTTCAGAGAACTAATGTAAGGTACATACATGCTAATTCCCACCGAACAAGCTTCTAAATGGTGCAAGAATTAGCATATGAATTGTCATCTCCATGGCCTTTGTCTTCAGTGTCCTCCAGTTCAAAAATTCTTTTTAAAAGTTTTTAAATTCTTTTAAAAATTGCAAGAAATATGCAGAATACGACAAATTGAAGTTTTCTAATAGGGAGAAAAAAAACTAGTAATGAAGCAATCTTATTATTACTGAAGAAAATGCAAGTGTCTCTTTTTATATTACACTACATTGTCTTATTCTTCTTCACTTACAGATCTGTTACCATTGGGATGACACCTGAGACCCCCACTGGAATTCTCCAATCTATTGAGGAAAAAAACCCAACCCGAAGTGAGGAGTGTGCACGGATGCTGAGTGTTTGGGAATGAGAGGATGAGTGAGTGAGAGGCTTAAACACACCACGGTGAAAATCCAGCCACGGCAAATGGCAGAACCGCTGTTAATGGAGCTAATCACTGACTTGCGTAGCAACAAAACCTTGTCATCGCTTGCCTCCAGGAAGTAGAAAATGATTGAGTTCTATACTTCAGTGCAGTCTCTTCTGACAAGAGACAAGGACTAATTCTGTGTCTTGGCCAGTGAAGAGGAAGATTACTTAGTCTGGGAGAGAGAAAAGCTAGCTTCAGGTTCAATTTGAGTACTCATATAATAAGGTCTGGCTTTCGTTGCTAGAGAGGAGAAGGGGGGGGGTCCCCAACCCATAACCTTTTAACCTCTTGGGAGGGAGGAGAGTTTTTAGCTGCACAACGCTGTCAGTGCACAAGAAAAATAGGAGGGGTGAAGAATTTTATTTCAAGAATGAGTGTGTGTGAATGAGGCAGTATCTACATTCTCAATTGCAGTTAATCTTTCCCACAAGAAACACTGAAGAGATTAGCAGTTGCATTTCATAAACTAACAAGTTCAGTCTACTTGAAGTGGCAGAAAAGCAAGAGATTTGAAGGGGGAGGGGGGAAGAGAAGTTGCCCCATGTAGGGCTTCTTTTTAGGGAATTCTAGCTGGGATGTTCAAAGCTCCCGTCGTGACACTTTTTTCACAATCTTGTTTATTAAAAAGCGCCTTTCCTTCATGAATTTTGTTCAACTGTGAATGTAGAAACCCAGGGTTGGGTGGGGTGGGAGGTGGGTAGTGTCCAGAAGACTCTCACATGTTAGTGGAGAGATTAGGATCAGTTTTTCCAAATGGGATGTGAAGCTTTGAAACAATATAACTTTGCTTTTAATTCGTAATAATAAAAACAACCAAAAGGGACAAAACCCCTTTTGGTGTGAACAAAATAGCCCGAACCACACATAATTGTGCCAAAGAATTTTTAAAAAGCCTAAACAAACAAGAAACCTTTCAGGAAATATTTTGGATTGCAAAAATGAGATTGACATTCAATGTTCAAACAAAGCAACGGAAAAAAAAAGATAAAAGTACAATTTGGAAACCGCTTGGCCTATTTGTTCTCTTTATTTGGTTCTGATATGGGGTTAGTCTTGCTACACTTCAAAAAAGGAAAAAATTATATAAATATATATATATATATACTGACTTGAGCTTACACAGGATGGCACTTGTAAAAGGTTATATTTTTCCACTGCAGTTGAAGATTAATAAAAAATGGTGTCAAACATTCCCCTAATAACTATTTTTTCTATTACTCTTTCCAGTAGTAGGAAATCCTCTTTTCACTCCCAAAAGCAATTCAGCAGCTGTATGCTATCTATACTATATCAGTTAAAAACCTGTAGTTTCAAATATTTTTAAAAAAATATTCTGTTGTGTTATAACAAATGGACAGAGTCAACTGTTCTAGATATTAAGAATTCATAAAAGCAGAGAGAATGAGACACACCAGCTTCTATCTATGCAGCTATTGATGCTTAGGGGCTTTTAAAAGATGGGTGCTTTTCATGCTTGCCTTGTAAAATAGGGAATCTAATCCTTTCAACAAGCATTTTAAAAAAAAACTAAAAAAAAAAAAACCCTCACTTCCCTGTACTTTCTCAGGCTCATCATGGGATTCTCTTTGGCTGCCCATCATTGGAAAGCAAATAAGCCAGTTTCTTATACAGGGTATCTGATGTTGTGCCTTTCAGTGCCAGGTTCAGAATTGTAGCCCCAAGTGCCGATTTCTTGAACCAGTGTACAAAACAAAAACAAAATATAAGACCAAGTAGTTAAGCAGAAAGTTCCAGCATGTGTCTGAAAGAGGGGCTTTTATGAACTTGGGTCCACCTTTTTCTTAATGCCTTTTTTTCTTTGGGATAGAGTTTTCTTTGAAAGATGCCCACAAAACGAAAGCCATTCCTAAACTGGGGAAGGGGTGCGTGAAGGGAAATTCTCATCATTCCTCAGTGCTACTGAACTCTGTCCAGTGTTGGCTATCTAGCTGTAGGCTGCAGGCAAATAAAGTACACTGAGTTAGTAGTGGAAACCAAAAATGTGTGTCTTACTTTTTTTTTCCTCTTGGCATTCAGTGCTTATTTCTGAAAATGGTGAAGGTCTATACTGAGGCAAACTTGTATTTTTAATTTTTGCCTGAGCTTATGCATCAACCTGCATGTATTCACTGTATATTTGGGAAGGGGGAGAGTACCCTGTACCTATGCTTCAAGGAGGACTCTGATAAATGAGTATTTTATTATGTCTCTTAATTGCCACATCAAATTTGTACAGTTATACATGAACAAATTGTTCCTACATTTGGAGGAAGGTACATGGCATCTCTGAGAAGCTTTAGAACTAATGGAATGTATTTTGGAGCATACTATTGTGGCCCTTACTGTGTGACTTACTTTAGTATGGGTAGAAAGTTTGAAGTTTTTGGAATCAGTCCACAATCTGTCCACAATTTGCCATCAAATTGAAATTGTTGAAAGAGTGGAAGGAGAAAACCGTAAATATACAGAGAAATATTACTTGAATATAATTTCAAATGTTACATGTTTTGCCCTTATTTTTTGAAGTGTGGCCTTTAGCCAAAATTTATTTGTTCCTAGTGAAATAGGAATGTATTCCAGATAATCTTGGATGGCATTTTGCGTATCTGCTAAAATACTTATTCTGAAGCCAATTAGCTGTGAATTATGGTCTGTCAGATGCTTTGAAATTACATGTTGGGCTCCTTATGAATGCATCTGACTCATAAGTCACATGTTGAATTTGTCTCAACATCTGTGAGGTATAACCATATGCCTACTTTCAAATTCTATATTGTCAGAAACTTTCAAAGATGTGAATTTCCAGATGTGTTGCTATTTAATAAAGAGTGTTGGAAGGAGAAAAGGAAAAACTATACTTGGGAAGAATTTAAATTTAGCTGTTCTGTGTTCTGCAATTTGTGGCCACCTGGAACATAAATTATTTTCTCAGCAAGTTTCCAAAGTGCCATTCAATTAAAAAAAAAACCAATTCAAATTACCACAGATATCAGACTATATATTAAAATCAACTTGTAGTCACAAAACTTCATAACTTGTCAGAAAAGATTTGTAAACTAACACACAAATGGACTGAAACCTATATCTTGAGGATCTTGACACAAACCGCTGTGTCACATTAGCTCTCAGTAGGGTCCTCCAGCATGCCTAATTGTAAATTCAACTTTTTTTGCAGCTACTCAGATTATAAATAGAATTATTTTATGGAATTAACTATTCAGTTATTAATTTGTTCCCTATTTATTAATTAAATTTATATGCTGCCCATTTCATTATTCAAAGCAACTCACAGCAAGTTACAGTAAAAGCACAAATACAGTGGTATTTTGGTATTCAACTGCTTCAAAATTCATCAAATTCAGTACTCGATGCATTTTGAAGCAAAAATGTCCTGGTACTCGATGCACAAGGTAGAACTTCCTGGCATTGGCTGCCTCATGATTTGTTTCTCCTTCCAGCTAAAATAAAGGGTCATGTGGTAAGTCATGTGATTTATTCACTATTCATCTTTAGTACCTGTCATACCTCCAGGAACAAATCCTGGACAACTCTGAAGTACTACTGTATAAAAAACATTAACAAGAATTAAATTAGGAACTAAGTACCGTTAAAGTCCTGTAATACTTTCAAACTAATTTAGGAAAGTTTCCTTGTGATGCATTCTCAAAATGTAAGATAACATTAAGGGGAAAAAATCCATCCTGTTTGTCAAATTATAGAATCGGTTGTAACAACGTAGCAATTATATAATATTGCATTAAAATATCTGACATGTTCAACAATTTGCTTCCAAACTGGTTAAAGTGTTATACTGAATAACCCAAGCATGAGAGCATCATAAAAATTTATGCAATTCAGTTTTATTTTTAAAAATAATGTTTCCTTTCACCAGATAATTTATAGCTTATTTTTAAAAATAAACCAGTTTATTATTAGGCCTGTTATCTCTTCTCTGGTAGCCTGCAGTCACTTTATGATGTTAATGTTTTCAACTTCTTTCTTTGCAACTTCATGAATTTTTATGCCTATGCATTCTGCTTCTTGTAAAATTTCAAATTCATTCTTCCATTCTCATGCAGTGCATTTTAAAGATTATATGACTACATAGTGGATGAGATTGCCACAATTTGTTTTGATTACAGGTTTTGGGGCAAAGATACAAAAAATACCAAAAATGATGCAGACCAAATAAGCCATTTGGTTTGCATCACTTTTTTCAGATTTTCAGTACCATCTGAAAAAACTTCCTGAAACTGTTGGAGAAGGTCTCAGCAGTGAGCAAATCAAAATATGACTGCTTCTGTTTTAGAAGTAGAAAGGAGGCATCTTTTAAAGAATTGTTTGTTTAACCTTTTGTAAAACAAACTCATTTGGAACTTTACACAGACATGGCAGCAATATCATTGCAGGAATTAGTATGAAACCAGTAGTTAATATGAGCATTTTAAATAATATATGGACAATATGCATGAGCAGACTGAGAAGGTCTGCTTTAGCCTTTAGAAAGTGAGAAGGCAGTGAGGCAAGATTTTAAAATACCAGTTTGTTTGAAAGGGTAGTGATTAAGATTACAAAGGTTTTATTTATTGAGGCTTATCCCATGAATATGTATTTTTTTTTATTAAAAAAAATCAATCGTTCCTTTCAGGTAAAATGACACATTTGATCACCCATACTTAACATTCTTGTGAATAAACCCATTGAAAGCAATATTTTCAGGAACTGTGTTTGAGTTGTGATTAAATCTGAACCAAGTTTGAAATTTAATACTTGGATGTGAATTATCCATCATTTCAAACTAGAGTTATGCCAGTTTTCAACCAGAAGTGCAACATGAATCATCCCCATATGGGTGACATAGGATGCTAAACAATGAGTTGTATCAGGAGAGAAAGGTCAGGTTCACATGTGAAAGTTCAATTAAACTAATGTCTGCACAATTTTAATGAATGATTAGCACCTGCTTGAGGTTAGATAAAGGGTCAAGAGAATTCAAAGGAAGTTAAATTTAGTTTGTGGCTATGTAGAGATTCTAGGCTGATCGTTCTTTAACTTCCACCCCCAGGTTCTGCCATTCCTGTAAGTAGTTTTGTTGAAGCTGTAGGCTGAATAATTTGTGACATTAAACCATAAATTTTTACTTATTGTGATTGCTGGGTTCACATGACAAACTCCGCCAAAGCAGTTTAGAATGATAACTAAATAATGCGTGCATGTTTGTCACCGAACTGCACTATTAGAGGATCCATGTTCAGTCCACAGGACATCCAAAATCTAATGTGACGAATAAGTCAATAAAATAGTACTCAAATTCTTTAAAAAGCTTCATCAGTCTTCCATTGCGAATTTGTAACCTGATAAAAATTAAAATTGGCTCCCTGTGTACTCATTTTGTGTTAGAATATATATATATATATATTTTAAAAACAAGTTTTATTAATTCTTCAAGACATACAATACATAAATACACAAAAACACAAAACATAAAAGCATAAAAAATCTCTTTTCTGAAAGTTGCTTAGTTCCGGGTTATAACTCTTGGTACAGACACAAATTCAAATTCATATTCCTTTTATATACCATTTCATATCTTATTAACATTTCCAATTTTCTATATAACTTCTCTCTTTTAAATTTTCTCAATTTTATTTTATTTATCTCCTCTCGATTCAGATCATAATATTTATTATTCTTTGTCTGTTCTATTTCCAGCCATCCATTTATTTTTCTTCTTTAAAAAAGAAGAAAAACTTCTGTACACTATATGGAGTATGATGCCTTTATCTCTCTCCCCTATATTTATAATACTTAATATAAAACACATAACTTACATTGGGATTCTGTCTGGTACATTCTAAAATTATACTATGTTATCGAAAATGATACAAATCTATTCATTAGTATTGATATTCATTTATATCTTGAACGTTTAACACATTACTTTTCAATTAAATCACATACTTTTATGGGAGCCCTATTTTC